AAAGTCAGTTTACATTGCGCCTATGGGAGGGGGTCGAAGGTCAAGTTTGTCGTAGAGCCACGAAATTCGGTACACATGTTCCTCAGGTCAAGACATGAAAAAAAAGTTATTATGCCTCCGCCCCCTGACAAACAGGAAGCTCATTAATTTAATTGGAAAAATGAAAAATGAAAATTGATATTTTTCACACATGTCGGCTGGAAATTATCTCCTCCTCGGCCGCTTCACCGATTTGTCTCAAAGTCGCTCCACATGGTCTAAACCCATGTCCCATCTATTATTGAATATAGAATTTGGATCAGTTAAACGTTGTCCGAGCAGCGGAGCGGCAAAATGTGACATGTTTTTTCCAATTTTTGACAAAAGTAAATTTGCTCCCATTTGCACAAAAATAGTCAGATTTGCACAAAATTTTAATCCATTGTTCAGCTCCAGGGTCTAGGTCATTTGAAAGTTGAAATATTGAAATTGACTCATTAGCGCCCCCTACAGACTATGTCAAAGTTTTACATGGTCCTAATAAAATTTAGTTTTGTCAAAATGTTTGAAATTTTGCGCATAATTCTGTTTTGTCATCTGGATTCAAAAAGTCAATGACAACATATGATTATTTTTTACCCTGTTGCCGTGGCGACGACCAACACTCCCCTGTCTGTGTCTATGAGAAAATCGTTAAATCTCTGAAAAGTACACCTCGCTCAAACATCAAACCAGCCACGGCCGTTTCCCTAATTTGTCTGAAAATCGCTCCACATGGTCTCAACACATGGACCATCAATAGTTGCATATAGAGTTTTAATTAGTCAAACGGTCTGAGCGTGACAGACTCCCAAAGTGTGGTTATTTTCATAGAGAGGTGTGAAGTTCCCATGTTATCCAATGGAGACTCTATGGACACACTCACAGATTGTATGTACAAACAGGAGCACATTAGCACTAAACTTGACTCTGTTGTTCAACTCCTGGGCCTAGGTCACATGACAGTGTGAACAATGACATTGGCCCATTATCGCCCCCTACAGGCTGAGTAAAGGTATACATGGGGATACAAGAATTTAGGTTTTGTGTTGTTTGATCTCATATTTGACCCACTGAACAAACACGAAAACTCACCAAACTTTGCCACAAGTTTTTTTCAGGCATAAAGTGTATTATTTTGGTGTTCTTTGGTATAACACTACAAAATTTAAAATGTAGGGGGCGCTATTTTACAACATAAATGCCACCATTTGCACATACAAAGTCCGATTTGCACAAAATTTGAATTGATTGTTCAGCTCTTGGGTTTGGGTAAACTGAAGGTGTGAATCATGATATTGCAACAATAGCGCCCCCTATAGACTGATACAAGTATTACATGGGGAGAATGAGGTTTACCTTTTCAAAGACACACACAATCACTGATCATAGTAATTCAAAATGCACAGTGTCGCTCCCATCAGGGGGGCAAAAAAATGGCGCGTCAGCGCCACCTCCTTTGCGCGGTGCGGCGAGGGCCGTTAGATGCCGCTTGCGGCTTTAATTACTATTCTTTTTATCATTAGTGGTTTGAAAAAGTGAAATCATGTGAAATCATGTGAAATCATTCTGAAACATGAAACACCAAAGTAATCAGTCCCAGGACCCTGAAGCACCTCCCCTTATCCTCTCCTTTATGAGAACCACTCTATGCTTCTGTGCGCTGTGATGGCTGACCCTTCATGGCCGCTCCCTGGGGTGCGTTGTCATGGAGACGCCATATCACAGTCCATTCAGTCTGTAAAATGCTGATGCTCAGAGCTGTGGATGGAGGTAAGGCTGAAGCCACCTTCAAAAGAGAGTTACTTACTCCACTAAAACATAATAATAATAATCATGCATCAGTTTTATGCAGCGCTTTTCTGGACACTTCACATCAGTATTCTCTCTCTCCAAACACAGTGGTGATAAACTAATGTAGCCACAGCTGCCCTGGGGCACACTGACAGAAGCGAGGCAACCAGTCTGTGCCATCGGCCCCTCCCACCACCACCAACCATCCACACACACACCAGACTCATTCTAATGTGGGGGAAGTGTCTTGCCTAAGGACACAACGGCAGTTTGGCACTTTACAGCCGCAGCCGCCCCACTGTGGCTGTTCCCAGAGGTTAACATGTTAACAAGGAATACATCTGAACTTGTCTTTCAAAAGAACAAAGAAGCTGCTTAAGAAAATGTTTAGAAAAGTGACTTCTGCATCTACCTCAGCTCATGTGTCTCTCTTCCTCCATCTTGGTGCTGTCTTCTCTCTTCCTCCATCTTGGTGCTGTCTTCTTTCTTCCTCCATCTTGGTGCTGTCTTCTCTCTTCCTCCATCTTGGTGCTGTCTTCTCTCTTCCTCCATCTTGGTGCTGTCTTCTCTCTTCCTCCATCTTGGTGCTATCTCCTCTCTTCCTCCATCTTGTTGTTTTCAAGATGGCGCCTCGTACGGTCGACATGGCTCTCTGCTGCTCTCTGCTGCTCTCTTTTTCTTTTGTTTTTACTTTTTAACTGTGCATCTGGCTGTTCCTACACCCGTGAGGAACTTATGAACATCCGACCCACCGTTCCCATGGACCTATTGCCTGTTTTCTTGGCATCTGCGGCTGATTTAGTTCATGTTCTAGCCAAAAAAGTGTGGGCCCGTAAAAGGGGAAAGCGCGGAGGCTCGTGCGTCTGAGGAGGAGAGGAGCACGGCTCTCCCCGGCATTTTTCTGTCCAACGTACGCTCACTGGGCAATAAGACGAACTCAGCCTGCTCATGAGAAGAAACAAGGACTTCGCCACATCCTGTGTCCTCTGCTTCACTGAGACCTGGTGTCCTCTGTGTCCTCTGCTTCACTGAGACCTGGTGTCCTCTGTGTCCTCTGCTTCACTGAGACCTGGTGTCCTCTGTGTCCTCTGCTTCACTGAGACCTGGTGTCCTCTGTGTCCTCTGCTTCACTGAGACCTGGTGTCCTCTGTGTCCTCTGCTTCACTGAGACCTGGTGTCCTCTGTGTCCTCTGCTTCACTGAGACCTGGTGTCCTCTGTGTCCTCTGCTTCACTGAGACCTGGTGTCCTCTGTGTCCTCTGCTTCACTGAGACCTGGCTAAATGAGCGGATCCCGGACTGTGCTCTGGAGCTGCAGGGCTTTGGGCTGTTCCACACGGATCGCCATTGTGCGCTCTCAGGGAAGAGCAGAGGCGGAGGGCTGTGTTTCTACGTCAATACAAACTGGTGTAACCATGTGACAGTGATCTCCAAGCACTGCTCTCCTGCTCTGGAATATCTTTTCATCCATTGTAAACCATATTACTCCCCTCGTGAGTTTGTTTCATTCATTCTTGCCTCTGTTTACATACCGCCATGCGCGGACGTAGAGCAAGTACTGTGTATGGAACGTTTATACCCGGACTCTCTGATTATTATCCTGGGGGATTTTAATAAGGGAAACTTGAGCCAGGAATTACCCAAATACAGACAGTTTATCAAATGCCCGACCAGAGAGGAGAACACTCTGGATCACTGCTACACCACCGTGCGGGAGCTTTTCGTGCTGTTCCCAAGCCAGCCCTCGGCTTCTCAGATCACTCCATGATACATCTGGTTCCTGCTTACAGACAGAGACTAAAGCTCTCGAAACACCATCAGTGTGGTCTGATGAAGCTGTGGAAGAGCTGCATGCATGGAATCTACAGACTGGGACCTTTTCAGAGCTGCCACAGACAGTTTGGATGAATACACGGACACTGTGACGTCATACATTCACTTCTGCGAGGATAGCATCATTCCAACAAGGACCAGGGTCATCTATAACAACGAAAAACCCTGGTTCACTGCTAAACTCCGGCAGCTCAGGAAAGCAAAGGAGTCTGCTTTCAGGGAGGGGGACCGCAGCGGCTACAAAGCAGCTAAATATCAGTTCAGGAAAGAACTGAAAGCAGCCAAGTCCCGGCACAGAGAACGACTACAGGAGCAGTTTGGTAACAACGATACTGCTTCTGTCTGGAGGGGCCTACGGGAGATCACCAAATACAAACCCAAAGCCCCCCCCTGTGCTGATGACCACAAGCTAGCTGACGAACTGAACTTATTTTTCAGTCGCTTTGATGCTGCCCCTGACACCTCTCCCTCCCCCACCCCCCACTACTCTAACGACCCACCCATCAGCCCTGCCCCCAGCCTAACAATAGCCTCTAAAGAGATTAAACAACTCTTCCTGAGGCTGCACCCCCGCAAAGCTCCTGGCCCGGACCACGTGTCTCCGGCCACTCTGAGACACTGTGCCAGTGAGCTTACTCCTGTGTTCACGGACATTTTCAACACCTCTCTGCAGTCCTGCCATGTCCCGGCCTGCTTCAAATCCTCCATCATTGTCCACGTCCCGAAGAAGCCCAGGATCACAGGACTCAATGACTACAGACCTGTAGCACTTACGTCTGTCGTCATGAAGTCATTTGAACGCCTGGTTCTCTCCCATCTCAAGTCCCTCACCTCCCCCCTCCTGGACCCCCTGCAGTTCGCCTACAGAGCCAACAGATCTGTAGACGACGCCATTAACCTGGCCCTCCACCACATCCTACAGCACCTGGACTCCCCGGGGACCTACGCCAGGGTCCTGTTCGTGGACTTCAGCTCTGCCTTCAACACAATCCTGCCATCCCTGCTCCAGGACAAGCTCTCCCAGATCAACGTGCCCGATTCCACCTGCAGGTGGATCACTGACTTCCTGACGGACAGGAAGCAGCGAGTGCGTCTGGGGAAGAATGTCTCGGACTCTCGGATTATAAACACAGGAGCCCCACAGGGCTGTGTTCTTTCTCCCCTGCTCTTCTCCCTGTACACCAACCACTGCACCTCCAGCCACGACTCCGTGAAGCTGATCAAGTTCGCGGACGACACCACCCTCATTGGACTCATCTCCAACAACGATGAGTCCGCCTACAGGAGGGAGGTGGACCGGCTGGTGTCCTGGTGCAGTGGTAACAACCTGGAGCTGAACGCCCAGAAGACAGTGGAGATGATTGTGGACTTCAGGAAGAGCACTGTCCCCCCGCCCCCACCCTCCGTGATGGACTCCCCCATCACCTCTGTGGAGTCCTTCTGTTTCCTGGGCACCACCATCACCCACGACCTCAAGTGGGAGCCGACCATCAGCTCCCTCATCAAGAAGGCCCAGCAGAGGATGTACTTCCTGCGGCAGCTCAGGAAAGCCAAGCTGCCTGCACAGATGTTGGTGCAGTTCTACACGGCCATCATCGAGTCCATCCTCACCTCCTCCATCACCGTGTGGTTCGCTGGAGCCACAGTCAGGGACAAACAGAGACTACAGTGCATTGTGCGCTCTGCAGAGGAAGTGATCGGCCGCAGCCTTCCATCGCTGCAGGACCTGTACGTCGCCCGAGCTCGAGGCCGGGCTGGTCGTATCACAGCCGACCCCTCTCACCTGCACATGGACTATTCCAACCACTCCCCTCTCACCTGCACATGGACTATTCCAACCACTCCCCTCAGGCAGGAGGCTGCGGTCCATCAGGACTAGAACCTCCCGCCACAAGAACAGTTTCTTCCCCTCTGCTGTTGGACTCTTGAACACTTCTTAACCTGTCCCCCCGCCCTTTATAAAGTCACTTTACTGCCCATCATACGTCACTTTACTTCACTGTACTGCTGTCACCTTACATTGTGTGCACCATGTGCACTTGTATATTGTAAATAGTAACTGTAACTCTATTTTAAATTTAAATTTATTCTTTAGAAGTGTTTTTTATTCTTATTTTTATTATCTCTTTTTGACTGTTGCACTGAGCCAAAGCAATTTCCAAGTCTGTGACCTCCTGTTACTTACGTTGGCAATAAAAATGATTCTGATTCTGATTCTGATTCTGATTGGTGCTGTCTTCTCTCTTCCTCCATCTTGGTGCTGTCTTCTCTCTTCCTCCATCTTGGTGCTGTTTTCTTTCTTCCTCCATCTTGGTGCTGTCTTCTTTCTTCCTCCATCTTGGTGCTGTCTTGTCTACCAGTGTCAATGAAAAAAGCGATGTCTAACCCTAACTGTCAACAGAACAATGTAATTTCACGGATACAGAATTTAATATGTATGACTAAGACTAAGAAGAAATGGACTGAAGAATGTTGAAAAATTGATCCTTTCTTCTCTCTGTGATGTCACATGTGCTGCTAATTGAAAGTAGACTACCCTGGTGTTCTCCTTTAACACGTACACAAAGCTCATGTTTACATGCTAGCACCTCACAAACTCTACTGTTCATGTTTGTGTATTTTTTAAAGAGGATTTTGAAATTGGGTATAAATGTGCGTTCACTCCACAGTTGTCGGTTTCTTTGTTCTGGTCTTTCTGAAAGGTGTTTGTGGGTTAACATGTTAAACTGTACAAACATTCTTGTGCAAGCCCCTGGTGTTCTGATGCCTGATGCCTGATGGGGGATGGACCCTGTGTTGACATGGGGTCTTTGAATGCCCCATCGCTGGGATAGAGCTGTGATCGCACTCTGCTGACCCCACATTCCTCTGGGGGGTCCGGCCTTTCCATGATGCAGCCGCTACACTCCGGTCTCTGGCCTCACTCAGCCGTGCATGTGTTTCTCTGGTTTGCTCTTTTTGATTTGCTTAAGTTTTAGAAGAGTTTAAAAAAACTAATATTCCTTGTTTTTTGTGTCTATGCGGGCCCTTATTTAAAAGATACTTTGTGAAAGAATGGCATGAGTAGAAAATATATGAAATAACGTGAACAATTTATTTTAAGATGGTCGTCTTAAATTCAATCAAATGACAGAAATATCATGAAGCTGCTCTGAACACAACAGTCTGTGTTTGTTAGAGTTCAGAGAGTTTGGAAACAGAGCATTTACACAGAAGGTGTTTGTGTAGAAGTGTCTGATATTGGCCTCGATAGAGATAAAAGTGTCTGTGATGATGTGACCAAAAAGCCTTTCTCTACCCTACCCTACTCTACTCTACCCTACTCTACCCTACCCTACTCTACCCTACTCTACTCTACCCTACTCTACCCTACCCTACCCTACCCTACTCTACTCTACCCTACTCTACCCTACCCTACTCTACCCTACTCTACTCTACCCTACTCTACCCTACCCTACTCTACCCTACTCTACCCTACCCTACTCTACCCTACCCTACTCTACCCTACTCTACTCTACCCTACTCTACCCTACCCTACTCTACCCTACTCTACCCTACCCTACTCTACCCTACCCTACTCTACCCTACTCTACTCTACCCTACTCTACCCTACCCTACTCTACCCTACCCTACTCTACCCTACTCTACCCTACCCTACTCTACCCTACCCTACTCTACCCTACTCTACTCTACCCTACTCTACCCTACCATACTCTACCCTACCCTACTCTACCCTACTCTACCCTACCCTACTCTACCCTACCCTACCCTACTCTACCCTACTCTACTCTACCCTACTCTACTCTACTCTACCCTACTCTACTCTACCCTACTCTACTCTACTCTACTCTACTCTGCTCTACCCTACCCTACCCTACTCTACCCTACTCTACCCTACTCTACTCTACCCTACTCTACTCTATTCTACTCTACTCTACTCTACTCTACTCTACTCTACTCTACTCTACTCTACTCTACTCTACTCTACTCTACTCTACTCTACTCTACCCTACTCTACTCTACTCTACTCTACTCTACTCTACTCTACTCTACTCAA